CCTCCCCCGTCCTTCCCCTGCAGAGCTGGCCAGGATGTACAAAAACGAAGGGAACGAGTACTTCAGGGAGAAGGACTACAGGAGAGCTGTCACGGCCTACACCGAGGGGCTGAAAAAGCAGAGCGAGGACGCGGAGCTGAATGCCGTGCTGCACACGAACCGGGGGGCAGCCCAGTTCTACCTGGGTACGGACACCTGTGCCCGCGGGGCTGGGAAGGGGGCTCTCGCCCAGCCGGTGGGTTCCCATCCCCTCCGCTCTTGGTATTAGTTTGCTCTTTCTTCCTCCACTCCCCTCACAGTGATTGTAGAAATGGAGAATTAGAGTCCCTGCATGAGCTATTCCATCGCCTTCGGATCTGGTTGGATTTTAAGTAGAAATGAAAGGTTCCGAGTGGTTTTGCTTGCTTTATAGGTAACTACCGTTCTGCTCTCAATGATGCCATCCAAGCGAAGAAGCTGAAGCCCACCCATCTCAAAGCAATCATAAGAGGTGAGAGTTAAAGCACCTGTTACCACATGGAGTGCGAGGAACTTCGTTGCAGAACAGCTTAGTTTTACTTGCAATGCTGTTATTGTTACAAGCTCTGGGACAGTGGTGTTGGATGTTGCTTTGTTTCCCTGCGTGTTTCTGTGTTAAATAACGGTGTTTATAAACCGTAAATTTCAGTGAGTGTGCATTCATACTTTGTTTCAGGACAGCATTCACTTCAGAAAATGAAAGCAGTTACTGTGCCAGATCTCTTCACATTTTGTTATTGCTGTTTCTCCCCAAAACAGACTGCTGTGTTTTGCTTTGGATTTTCAGGCAAAACACTATCTTTTTGCTCTTCAGCTTCTGTATCTGTCAAAGAGACATTGCACCTGTTTCTGTAAGAGCACAGCATAACTTCTGCTGTTTCCCACAATACTAGTTCTTGGGGGTTGTTTGTTTTGGTTTTTTTTCCAGCCTTTCTCACTCCATGGAAATAGCCACTTCATTTTCCCTTATGAGACAAATACTGGTATGTTAATTATAATGATAAAATTTTGCTTGTAACAGACACTTCTAGCATCATTCTGCTGATTTCTGTGACTGGATGAGCAAATGATACAAGAACTGCTGAAATATTTTAGATTTTCTTCTCGGCTGACCTGCTGAAGCCTATGACTGAACATGACCCTGCAAGACGATAGCGTATTCCTTTTGAAAGCACTGGGGCTAGTGCTGTCTTTGTAACCACCGCTTTGTGTAGTAGTTGTATACTGACTCCAATACCAGAAACTTAAAATCTTAATCCTTCCAGGAGCTCTCTGTCACATGGAGCTAAAGAATTTCTCTGAAGCAATAGCATGGTGTGAGGAAGGCTTGCGAATAGATTCAAAAGAGAAAAAGCTTGTGGAAATGAGAGCTAAAGCTGACAAATTAAAGGTAAATATTAAGGCAGTCTGGTGTCTGCAATGCTTGTTGCCTACTTTGTGTCAAGAAGCACTTTGAGATCCTTGGTTGAAGAGTTCTCCGTACAAGTTTCTGTGTAGTACAATATCCCCAAAGAGAATTGAGTGGTGGTTCTGCGTAGTGTGTGTTGTTGAGGTTTGTAGGGAAAAAAAGCTGGAGGGAGGACCCTTCCGGAGATCTGAATTGATTTCTCCACTCACTAGCAGGGTGGAGCAGCAATGGGCTTTGACTTGCTGTATGTGACCATGGTGCAACCTTTTCTTACATGTAGCGAGCTGAGGAGCGGGATGCAAGGAAAGCAAAGGTGATGGAGAAGAAAGAGCAGCGCCAAAAGGAAATTTTGCTTGCAGCAATAAAGGTGGGTCAGGGAGGGGGGTTGGTTTTGTGTGGTTGGTTTTGTTGTGGGTTTGTTTGTTTTTTTAATAGCTGTCTTGTTTGTCTCTAAGAGGTTGTTCTCATACACAGGCTTTTGAGGGTTAGAGCCAAAAAATTAGTTAAAACCGTGATTCTGTTACGTGTGTAGCTCTAGCCCCAGCTCCCGGGTTTCCATATTTCAGGAAACATGCAAAAAAAACCAGTGGAGATGGACAGAGCATCCAAGAGAGTGCACTGGCTGCTGGGCTGTAGCATCACACTGGCCCAGGGAACCTTGCTTTCTTGGCTGGCCTTAGTGGGAGGGTAGAACCGTGATTCTGTTACGTGTGTAGCTCTAGCCCCAGCTCCTGGGTTTCCATATTTCAGGAAACATGCGAAAAAAACAGTGGAGATGGACAGAGCATCCAAGAGAGTGCACTGGCTGCTGGGCTGTAGCATCACACTGGCCCAGGGAACCTTGCTTTCTTGGCTGCCTTCAGTGGAAGGATAGAAGATAACCATCCAGTAGGGTGGAGGAGAGAATCAATCCTGGATCCTCTCCATTCTGGGCAAATGTTTGGGCTATGTTAAAATATTTTGGGCTATTAGGTAAATCTGATCTCCTTTTCTGCAGTTGTCTTTCCAAAGAAAAGAGCGAGCTTTCTTCAATTTTCTGAAAGAGTGGATGTTCTCGGGAGCTGAGGCATGTAGTTGCACCCTGAAGTTATGCCTGCTAGGTTCCAAAGAACAGGGTTTCAGTTATGCTTGCAGGCTCCTCTGGATTCCCACCTCTCCTCATCCATTTTGTGAGGAGTCTGGGTGTCTGGCTGAGGTTCTGGATTCTACTGGGAAGACCAGTCACCTGAGTCTGATACTGTAGGAAGGCTTTTGATGGCGTGTTTACGAGCTGACTCATTAATAAGAATGACACAATTGGTCCTTTTACTGACTGCTGATTTTTTGGTCTTATTCTCCCCTCCATACTTGTTTGGGTTTTTTGTTTTTTCCTTCCTCCCCTCCAGGAAAGAAATATCAAGCTGGTTCTTGAGCCTTCAAATGAAGAAGAGGAAATATCAGATGGCCTGGCCGAGATATCCTTAGATGGGTTCCACTCTGACAATGCTACAGGGGCAAAGGTGCACTTAGATGCTGATGGCAACCTCAGCTGGCCTGTCCTTTTTCTGTACCCTGAGCATGAGCAGACAGACTTCATTGCGGCTTTCCATGAGAACTCTAGGTAACTGCACTGTCAGCAGCATTTTACATAAAGGAGATGTTTGAGTAGATGAGAACAGACAGTAAGTAAACCACTGCCATGCTAATGAAGTAGTTCCAGACTTCTGATCTCATAGCTAACCCTGTTTAGGATTTAAAATTACAGTGCAAGCAGATTAATAAAGTTGTGGTTCTGATACTTTATGTATTCTTAACTATGCCTTTTCATGACCAAAGGAAGTGAAAATGGGTTCTTGGAACAAATTGGCCACCAGCACTCCTGAAGTACCAAAATAAACAAGCCTCTGACACGCAATCATATCCTGAGCACTTTGGTCTGGTGAAACGCAGTGTTGATGGGACCAAGTAGAAGGAAAATCAATTTTAGACAAAATGCAGGGTGTTTATTTTCACATCTTTTTCAGTGTGAAAATAAAAAGCTAAAAATAATTTGCTGTTGCACTGCTGGAGTTTGAAACCCATAGAATGAGTTACAGCAGGGCCTTGGTCTCTTTGGGGAAGCGATGAGTTTGAAGGGAAGAAACTCTTTGTGATCTAAACTTACTTTCAAATCTGTTGTCTAATTTGCTAAATTATCTAATTTCTACCATCACTCAAATGCAACTGTACAAATTATTGAAGCTGAACGCTTCATCTAAGCTAACCGAGTGTATTTTGGCTTTTAGGTTTATTGATCATTTAATGGTGATGTTTGCTGAGTTACCTCCTTGGGATTTAGAAAGAAAATACCTTCCCAGCAATCTTGAGGTGAGAAGTTTGACTTTTCTTCTATTTCAGGGTGGTGGTTTTCTTTGGTTTTTTTTCTGGAGTGAGATTGTGGGCTTTGAGTGTATGAAAGCAGTGGCATCGTTACCTGTTTACCATACACAAGTGTGAAATAAGGATTTGGAGACCTACAGTCGTTTATAAATGCAAACATTTTCCAGATGTGCTGACATGGACACAGAATTAATGAATGAAAATGAAAGTTCTTTTTGTCTTGCGTTGTATTTGATAGAAGGTATTTATAGATACTGCTTAGATTCCCATCTTTGTAACGATAATTAAGATTTAGACCATCAAGCTGGTAGACTGCCAGTTTTTTAACTGTGTTGTTGTGAAGTTGCTCAGTGCAAATGAGAAAATATTTAAAAAAAAATAAAAGGTTATTCTGAGATCTAACTGGTGATGCTTAAACACTTAATTGCCATCAAGACAATATATGTCTATTAAGACTTTAGTGTACATGGAACGCAAGTTGGTTGTGGCTACGGCAGGTTTGGAGAATTTCTCAAAAATTGTACGTAGAAGGATACAGACATTTATTTTTCATTTTCCACGTTGGTGTCACATGTGCCAGGCACCAGCGCAGCCCGTACTGCAGTGAGCAGACAGGTCCAAAAGGACAGTGGCTGTGTACTTTACCAGATTAAAAACTTGATTATATCTCTGTGTGTATGTGCAGTCTAAGGCACAGTTGCTGGATTCTTAAATCATCTCTATTTTATTCGGATATCTTTAAACCTACTCAGTTTAGTTCATACCATTGCTGCATTTCACCTTTTAAAAAGCAACCCGTAGATTTGGGTTGCTTCTCTGTAAAGCCCAGGAACAGCCAGTGGTTTTTGCCTTCCTGCTGCCACTGCCATGAGAAGCTAAGCTGGTTTATACAGGGAAGACTTGGAATTTACACAAAATGGTTTCTACAATGCTGAAGTTAGCATCCGACACAGTCGGTTCGAGGTACAGAAGTTTGATAAACCTCTAGTCAATACATAGTGTGCTGTTGCTGGACTTTCAACAACTTAGTAGTTTGCCTTCATGTATTTGAAGTATTTCATAATTTTTTTTTCAGCTCTATTTTGAAGATGAAGAAAGAGCAGAAATGTACGAGCTGAACCCAGAGCAGACATTGCTACAAATGCTGCAGCACCAAAGGTGAGGCCGTACCTGTTCATGTCCAGAGAGGCCACGAAAGCAAAAAGTACAAGTTTTGGGCTTTAAGTGTCGTTTGTTCTCTGATTTAATCATCCTAATTCTTGGCATCTCTAAGTGGGGAAGGTGTAAAGCAGTGGGACTGCATGGATTTTGTCCCTGGCTTTAGTCACCTTTTTTTTCACCCCCCCCAAAAAAATGAATGACTCTTTCCGGGACTGGATGGAGTTGGGAAGGGGAGTTGGGCTACACACAAGCAGCAGAACAAAAGGGCTGTTTCAGATTCCATCTACACAGTGCTACTTTAAGAAAAAAAAAAAAAGGCAGCAGCATATAAAGAGAGCGTGTTGAAGGTTAACAATGCTCTCACTGTTAATAATGCTGTGTGAGCAGCCCCCGACACAGCATGCAGCGTAGTTTCACTCTGATACTCGCTTTAAAGTGTTACGCAGTTATTTAGAGAGAAGAATTTGCTGTTTGCGAAACCAAAAAGTTATTGTAAAGCCTATGTTATTAACTTGCACTGTGTTGTAGCTAGGTGGAGAGAGTCTGCTGCACAGCGCCAGTGGCTCCGTCTGATGTCACAGTGGGAGCAGAGCTCTAGGTCCGCTGCCGCGGGCTGTGTCTGAACTGTCACTCCATAAAACTCAGCAGTGTGCATAAACCCTCAGATTTCAGGCTGTAAGTAAGGGCAGTTGCAAAAGAAACCTCCTTCCAGAGGGAGAATAACAGCTGTTTTAATTAGAAGTAGCTGTTGGGAGAAGAGTTGATTCATGAAACACTCCTCCTCGGGTGTGTGTAGCCCTGGCTACGAAAGGTTCTGCTAATCAGCAAAAAAATTTGTCGTTGGCCTTGGGGAGGTCAGTCTTTATTGAGCTGGGCAGAAGTCACTCACTGTGCATGACACTTGGCCACCTACAAGGAAGCCAAAGGACTCTCTTTTAATCTTTGCAGGTATTTTGTAAAGGCTGGGACTCCCACAGTTTTGGCATTTGTAAAACGTTCTCCTTTCTCTAAGAAGTACTTCTGTGGCAAGAAGGTGCATCGATTATAATGAGCAAGAATGAAACACGAGGAATCTTGTGCAAGAGGCTGCTGTTTGCTATCCCAGCTACAGACTGCAAACTTCTGCTTGAACAAAAATACCTTACTTCAGGGAAAAAATAATCTTGGCACGCAGGGAAACTTCCAGGAAAGCAGCATAGGAGAATGAAGGGCTTACAAGAGGGGATTATTTGTTTAAAAAGAAATCCAGCTGGCTTGCAGAAGGTCTCCTGTATGATAGGCTGCATGTGGTTTTGAAATAAACCTGAAGCAGTGCCAAACACTGCCTGCAGTTTGAAGCAACAGCAGCTGGGAACGAATGTACGTACCTATGAAAAATCACTGATTTCCTTGGAGGTGGGCTGTCGTTGCTGGGGTTTAACAGCAGTGGTCTGGGGAGATACCCACCTGTTGCAGCGGGATGGATGCGCTCAGATTCCTGCCTGGGATTAAGCAGCTGCTGGTTTTTTCACCGCTTGGCTCTGCTGCCGGCCAGGGTAAAGCAGAGCTCTTTGTTCAGAGCGGTGTGTTTTGCTGACCCTTTTGCTACCTTACTGATTGTCCTATAGAACCTGGAAATAAACATGTCTATTTTAAGTAGACTGACTTCTGCCCAATAAATGAGACAATATTTTTTCTCACCTCATGAAATACTGCAAGAGAATGACAAACAGTAATTCTAAACCCAAACATACCGACCTTATCCATTACACTAAGTGGTACAGCCAACACGCAGGGTCTTCTGAGGTTCTGTATTAGCTTTCAGCATTTAATTAAAAGTAATTCTAAATCTCTCATTTCTTTCTCTTCGGCAATCTCTCACTGATTGCAGAAATACACTGCAGTTTTAGATGCATCTAGAGAACGAGGCATTAAAAAGCTGTTCAGCCGTAAACACTCCTGCTTGGAGCATGGAGGCTGGCTTCAGACAGCTCTGAAGAACGCATTTCCATTTCGCTATTCCTAAACTTCTGCACCACATACAAATACAGTAGAAGCATCTCCGTCAGAAGATGCCAAAATTTAATCTCCAAAGCTCAGGGTTACTTTACAAGGCAGCGGGACAGTTCCCTCTTCCCAGAGCGTTGGTTCTGGCCAGCCAGCGCTCGCCTGGCCGTGTCCTGCTCTCACAGGGCAGAGAGATGAGCAGCCAAGAAGTACAAGCTCAAGCCGTTGCATGCGATGCAGCAGAGGTTGCAGAGGGAGGACAGAGCGTGGTAGAGGGTGAACTGCTGGGACAGCTGCCCGTAGCTGGGGTTGGAGGCACGCAGCTGCCTGCAGGACTTGCTGGTGAAGAGCCCAACCTCCTGGCCAAGGCCGTGGCTGCGCTCGACAAGGTGCATGTCTGCCACGATGTCGGAGGTGACCTGCCCGAACCACTGCGTGTTCAGCACGGAAGCAGCGATGCAAACGAAGAAGACAATGATCTGCAAGGGAGCAACACCCGCCGTGAACGTCTCGCACGTGTGGTGGGTTAAACTTCTCCCCCAGCCCCTCTTACACACAAGGCTCACTGCGATCTGGATGCTAACGGGTTTCTGTTAACCAGAGCCATGTGTGGACGTCGTCATCGTTTGCAAACCCACCTCGGTGGAGCAGAGCGGAGCAGGACCCCGCAGAGGAAGGAATTTGGGCTGTGGCCAGCTCACGTTTTAAAGCAGGGGGCTACCTGGGCAGTTTGTTCCTCGCTGAGCAGCTCGCTGGGGTGGTACATGGCAAATAGAGTCAGGTTGAGGAAGGCACAAGTGGAGCCGATGTGGAAGTAGTAGGGGAAGAGCTCGCGCTGGATGAAGCCGTAAGTGTGGCGAGGGAGGTGGCTGCCCATCACGAACCCTGCAAGGATGGAGAGTGGGTAGGTCCTGGGGCAAAGCCCCCTCCCGTGGGTCTCCCACCCAGACAGAGAACCACGGCAGCGTGCACAGACTGCAACCTACCAGCCACAAAGGTCACCCAGATCTGCATTCCCCAGGAGGTGGAGAGGAAAACCAGGTGCAGCAGTTTGACAGTGTGGGAGGGCTCCATGTCCATCAGTGTGGTTTCCTGGCTGGGGATGGGTCCCTCCATGTCGGCCAAGCCGCCCCCAAATTCAGTGCTGAGCTGCCGTTACTGCCGTCGCCTTGCGGGATCCAGCAAACGCAGCTGAGCTTCACAAGCCCGCTTATTTGGGAAGAGCTTTGGAGCTGACACAGCCCCAGCCCCACCACCATGCACCTGACCTGGCTGCAAACTGGATTTTCAAAGCCCTTATATCTTAGGGGCAGGGCACTGCGTCAGCACCTGGTAGCCAGCCGTTTTGGGTGGACTTTCAGCAAAGTCCAGCCAAAGCCCCTTCTGACCCCTGGCAGCAGGAACAAGCAGAAAGTCAATAACGGGAAAAAGGAAAAGCCCTGACAAATACTCCTGCTCACGCTGTGCTCATCAAAGAGGCCTCTTGGCGAGGGAAAAGTCCCCGTGTCTAAAAACAGCAACAGCTTCTGCACTTTTTAACCAAAAACCTTGGGGGCTCGAAGAAGCAGGGCCAGCTCCTGGGGTCATCCCGCTGCCCGGGACCCCACACTGGCACAAGCACGAGAGCATGGGCAGCAGCGGGAGGAAGGAGGCTTTGAAGGACCTGCCTGCTCCTCGACAAGGAGCTCTTTGGAAATTAATTAAAACAAAGCTGCTGGGAACAGCCCATCAATTCTGCTGCCTGCTTTATTCCCCCTCCTCCCCTCAGCCGGGCATGAATTACAGCGGGGATAGCCTTGAGAGAGACACTGCCATCTAATTACATCCCACTCCCCCTGCAAAAGAAATGAATATACGCTGTGTTTTTATATGTCAATTCCAAGGTATTTATTTCGGCAACTGTAAAATCAGGTCCTTGAAACCTCGAATCCCACCTGGAACGCTGGCCTGTAAAATCCACTGAAATCTTCGTGTTCTTTTCTTTGCCAAAAGCTTCTTGGCATTTCTGGGATACTCGCCCGCTCCATCCTCCAGCAGCCCTGTCCGCTGCACGATGGCAGGGGCTGCGGGAAGGCAGCCGTGGTCCTTCCGTGGGGCTTTGTTCCCTGCGCCATGCTGCGCAGGAGAGCAGCGATGAGCTCTGCGGGCAGCCGGCGCGGAGCCCTGCCGCTCTTGGGGTCCCAGATCTGCCTTTCCAAATCATAGAATCTTTAAGGCTGGAAAAGACCTCTGAGATCATCGAGTCCAAAAAACCATCAAAAATCATTTGCCTACCTGCAGGAATTAGCAGCCGAGAGCAGCAAGGCAGCTGGGTGCTTTCGTGCAAAGAAGCTGGAGCCAGGAGGGTTGTTGAGAGCAGGGGGTAATACCCTGCAGGGTTTTCTTTTTCTTTTTTAAGGGAAAAATAGTGATTGATTGCTAAATTGGCCCTAGAGTGGTGCATTTGGTGAGGACAGCAAATAGGGGGCCCTGGGAAAGGCTGGTAAGGGCAGGCTGGTCCCACCAGGCTCCGATGCACCCACCAGCGGGTCCCTCCTTCCCTGGGAGCTGGCTGTGGGACCAGGCGGTTGAAGATGGGTGCTCCAGGGATGCTCCAAGCCGCCCAGCCCTGCTGCCCACGCTCTCCTGCGCCCGAGGGCCAGCAGGTGCTGCAGGGCTGCGGCTTTCTCCCAAACGCACATAAACCACAAGATGCTTCGCATCGTCGCAGCTCTGTGTCGTGCCCCCAAGTCATTCCCGCTCCATCACCCTGCGCCCCCAGGGATGCAGCCAGGGCTGACCGTGGCCCCGCAGCAGGAAAAAGCACGATTCTTAAGGAGAAGGAGAGGTCAGTTAAAGTTTAATGTTCAGGCGAATACATCATTCCCTCCGCTTAATCGAGCAGCAGCAATTTCTAACGATAAGTAGAAAGGATGGCTCGCATCCCGGTGATAAAAAGGCAGGGTTGCTTCAAGTTTCGGGAGATAAGAGGGCTCTATAAAAATTGAATGGTTTGTACCACGTCCAGCTTGAGACGGCTTTATCTTGCGGCGATAGCGCGGCAGGGGGAGGTCAGGGCAGCGCCGTGCCAGGCCTTGCACGGAGATGTTTATGATCTGAGATAGAGCAGAGATCAGGAGTTGATGGCCACAGCCGGCTCCAGGGCTGGGAGCCGCTGGCCGGCGCCCGCTGGAGAGGGGCAGGCGGCTCCTTCTGCTTATAAACCGGGTGGGGAGTTTGGGTGGCAAAGTGCCTTTCTAGGGACTGGGTGTTGCAGAGAGGGAGAAAACACCCTGGGGTGCCTGGAAAAGACCCCGTGCTCATTTCTGGTACCGCATGACCTCATCTTACACCGAGCACAGCATCACCATCACTTGCTCGTGGTTAGGGTCTGCAAAAACCCCTGCTCAGGGTGAAGCGCAGTGGGGCTCTGCTAGCAAAGGCGAGGGCACGGCTGCCTCCCTGGGGCCGTGTTCAACCTGCTGCGCCTGCAGCGCTGCGTGCCCCAGGGCTCCTGGGTCTCCGTCCCTCCCCAGCAGGCAGCAAGCCTGTCAGAAACCTCAGTGCCATCGGAAAACCTCTGGCTGTGTGACCCAGGACAGATGTCCCCTGGGGTGTGACTGATGAGCAGCACTTCCATCGTCACCCCTGCCACATTTCGGTGCCTTATCCAGAGCATCTCGGGCTGGCAGCAGGGTCCTTGCAATGGGGAAACACCCCTGGAGGCACTCAGCTCATTAGTGCTTGGGGCAATTAGGGACGGCTGTCAAAGCCTTTGAGGCTCTTGGTTTCAGCATCTGCCCACACTTACTCCCCCTGTCCCTGGCAGCCTTGCTCAGGCTTAGGGAAACAAGGTTTAGCTCTGTCTTTTTTTTTTTTTCCTTTTTCAGTGCCCCTGAGGCAGTTTGGGGTTTACACCTCAAGGTGTTGGTGCACCCAGCAGACGAGGACGAGGGGCAGCCCCCCAGTTCTGCACCAG